TGACAAATATAATACATATTGTTATTAATAACATGTGCATTAGTGTTTCAGTCGGATAACAATAAGTTCAAGCAATGAAGAATGATCAAGCATAATCTAGCTAGGCAAAACATCAGACGATAGAAAAGTTAGTATCAAGGCTAAGGCTGATTCAAGCACAAACCAAAATACAAGATAAAACAATTCTATTAGCGGAAGCCTGAGGCATCAGACGCAACTTGGCCAGACATCAACATGAGTTATCACTCTTATACCCAGACAAAAAGGGTAGTCAAGATCAGACGAAGTATCTTGTATCCAGAAAATGTCAAAAATATTGAAGCACGTCTGAAGTCCATGAGTCACATTGAAAGAAATTACACAAGAAACATAAAAGGACATCAACGTGAATACAGCAAGAAGAAAAATAAGCAAGCATGGACCCACAAGTCAAAGTTGAGTGCATCAGAGAAAGGACACCTACTTTTCAGAGAAAGACAGCTCTACAACAGCTAAAGTGATGAGGAAAGTACAAATATACCTAGAACATGATTGAAGTCAGATATCGAAGTAATCAACTACACAGAGAGACTCCACGAGTACAAGCAAACATTTAATGCAAGATCAAATGCATTAAATGAGAAGATTTACATAGCCATGAATAAGCCTCCATTTGCAACGACATAAAGCTATGCTTCAACGGGAAAATTTGAATTCAAATAACGGGCAAATTTATCAAATGGCTATAAGTATCAAGGAAAAAGAGAAGAAGAACAAGAACGAAAAAAGAGAGAAAACGAGCAACAAGAAAAAGAAAGTGAAAGAGTATAAGCTACATTTTCTCAAAGCATTTCTTGTATATTTATATTAGAAACTAAGATAATTTATCTTAGTAAGTGTTGCAAACAGTCTATCCTTTCTACAAGAGTAAACAAACACTTAGACACTTATCCTTGTAAGACTAAGGTTAAGCACCTTAGTGAGTGTAGAAACTATCCTATCCTTTCTGTGGGAGTTGCAAACACACTCAACACCCTCGATTGTTGTAAAGCCTGAAGAGGCTGGTAGAAAGAATACTTGTGAACCATAAATGGTTGAGAATACTAGCGTTAGTAAGTGAAGCTAGCAGGCCAAAAGTGGTCAAGAATACTTGGAGAACCAGAAGTTGATGGAATCATGCCTAGGAAGGCAAGGGGTGACACATTAAAGGAGCCAAGAGGAATGGGCTAGACATGAAGGTTTGGGCCAGTCAAGGCCCAATGGGCCCAATGGGCTTGGAAGGCCCAAGTTGAGCTTCTCATGGGCCATATCTTGTTTTAGCTATTTCCTTATGTCTTGTATATATCATGCTATTTCCTATTTGTTTCTCTTGCTTGGATGCTTCCATCCTAGTCTAGGAAACCTTCTTAATTCACTTTCTAATTCATCTTCATTCCGGAATCATCTCAAGAAGCAAGATCTGTGAACAACTGGAGAAGGAAAAAGGAAGCATAGATCTTCACTTCACTTGCCTACTCCATCATAAGTGGTTAATAATACTAGTGTCGATAAGTAAGGTTGACGAACCAGAAGTGGTTGAGAATACTTGTTGATGGTGTAGGTTGGAGAAGTGGATGATCTTCTTCCCTTAGCCTCCATCGAACAACTAGGATCTCCTTCTTGAGTTTGAATCCAATTGAAGAAGAGATGAAGATGAACTTGAATTAAGAAGAATGAGTTCCTATAGCTACGGATGGAAGCATCCAAGCTCAAGAACCAAAGGAAAGCTCACACTCAAGTGTATGAAAGGTAGATTTTCCTAAAACTAAGGCTAAGCTTTCGGTGACTTTTGGGAGAGAAAATAGCTGAAGCAAAGTCAGAATTTCTCATATATGCAAAAGTGAATTTACAATGAAGAAGGTTCACTTAAATAGCCACGGAAATGAGAAGCATTGGCGCCTAAATCAAGCTACACATTTTGGCCCCTAGATTTGAATTCAAATTTAAGTCCACATGTGCTTGGCCATGAGTTTAGGTGCTCCTATGCATTTAGATTTAATTTAGATGGAATTTAGGGTTAATTTGAGCAAGCACATGTTCAGCCACTAGTGGTGAAAAACATGTGACTCAAATGCAACTTAAATGACTTCCAAATTAAACCTAATTTAGCCTAATCTGTCCACTTAAGTGATCCTTGTATATTCCTATGCTAATGACCTAAATACAATGGCCAATCAAATACAATGGAAAGGAAAAATTACAAGAATGAAAATGAGCCCAATATTGGGTACCAAAAGCCCAAAGGCCCATGAAGCCCAAAATATATACTACCCAACAGAGGAAAATGTTAGTGTGCATATTATATAATAAACTCAATGCAATAATTATGTTTTTTCTCTCTCTTGATCATGTGTGTTGACAAGGCTTAGTTAAGGTGTTAAAGGAAACTATACCCATAACAAATTATAAGTTCTATATCAAATATATGTATTATTAAAGTTTTAAAATTAATTCACTATGGTTATTTCAAGTGCAACTTTAAAGCTTTAAGAATTTTTATGACGGTAATTATGACTAAATCAATCACATTTATTCATAATTTCTTGTGATATCACTGTAAAATTGTGATAACCACAATTTAAAATCCTGTATATGTTGTTAGAATATCTTATAACATCACATCTATCTAGTCATATAAATCTGATAATGTTTAATCTCTATTCTATTATTTTCTTTTCCTCCCTTTATACCTAATATCTCGTAATTTTCAACACAAAAACTTCAATAATGTTGGCTTTTAAGGGAACAAATTTGAAGACTTGACCCGGAATGTTATTCAGAGAGTCAACACAATTATTACATGATGAATGAGACTATGAAAATCAATGCAAGAACTTTTGATTAGCTAAAATAGTTTTAACCAAAAAACCTTAATGCATGTCATATTTAATGATTCCGTTGTATTATGATACATACTATGTTATGATTAAAACTTTTCTGTTTTGAGATCCTATGGAGTAGGAGAGTCCTAGTGGTTTCAATGAGATGACAATTTTTGTGCTTGACACCTGTTTTATTGAGGGGGTGTGTGTGCTAGTTGTTTGGCTCAGAAAACCCTTATATGCCATAAATTGCTAAAAATAAGACAAATATTGTTGTCTATGAAGCCCAAATACTTGATATGACATGGGTACAATACGACACAGATATGGGGATATGACAATTTTTTTGAAATTTAAGATATACATTTTGGATACATAAATAAAATTTTATAGAAAAAATTATAAAGGTATAGAATATTGTTAAGGAAAGAGACTTTAATTATTTCTCAAATTTTTAACTATGATGATCATAATTTACAAGAAGGATATTTGAATTCATAAAAACAAACAGTTTTTGCCCATATCATGTTAACTATATTAATTAAAGCATCTTTGGTAGAACTTAAAACAAATATTTGTTCTATACAATAGCCTATGACTTAAAAGCATCATTACTAAATTATTGTCATGCTAACTATATCACTCACTTCTCCCCTATTACCATCATCTAGGAAAAAATGGTTTCAAAGTTTGGTTCACCAAGAGACAACTCTGCCAAGTTAAGAAGTTCAACACCATCATCAAGTGGATGATGTATATCTCTACTAATGTCCCACAACCTAGTCTCCTTTTCTATACCCTTCATCTTTCATAACAAAAAGTTGAAGGTTGAAATGCACGTAAACCAAATCTTTTACCTCTTTTGAATCCAGCTTATTTTTCTTCAAAGAATGAATAAAGGAGTATGTACTCCAATTTCTTCCACAACATGAGAAAAAACATGACTTTACAAAAAAGCTTAAGACAAGCTTTTTTGGATACTTTCAGATATGTATCTAAAAGTATGCAATAAGTAGCCGGGGTGAATCTGGATTGTTTTGTTAGTTGAGAGGTTTCCACCACAAATGTTGGGCCACATTGGCTGGTATGCCTAAGATGATGCCGTTTTAAGCATTATGGATGGTTCTTTGAGTGAGATGTCCCAGCCTGAGAGCGATCGGAATTACTACTCTGATATGCAAGAGCAGAACTATCAACAGTTGAATGAGCATGGGGTCTCCGTAGTTACATTTAGCTGAATTTGGAGAAGGGTTGATGATGCAGATTTCCTCGTAGGAACCATGGGTGACCCAAGAATTCAGTCACAGGTAGTAGTGTGATCTAGACACATTGTTGACACCATCGTGTTGATTGGAAGATGATGATCTGGATGTTGATCTGCAAGAAAGGTCACCCAAAAATTATCATCTTTGGAGATGTACACAGTCTGCCAAAAATGATCATCTTTGGGGACACTTGGTAAGAACAGTTCTTGAAACCACTCTATTAGGCTCTAGATACCATGTTTAGAGAGAGAAAGCAGAGACATACAAGATGCTGAAACTGTGTGTTTAAACGGCAGAGATATGTTTATATAAGCTTATTTCATTTAATACACATGAATGGGGGATATTTTGTTTCCCCTAAATAAGATGTTATGTGCCTATAAAGTATATGTAATAATTACTAATTATTACATTATGATTCTCAACACTTACCAACTCGCAGTATTGAAGCATCACTGCTGTGCTTTTCTCCATGGCCACCTGTATGTTGTAGGTTTTAGGAATTTAGGTTGTTTTGCAATTTCTCAACTTACTTAGCAGTTTATATGATTATGTTACTTAAGAAATTTTGTAACTTTTTGTTTACCTTTGATTGTTTAAATTATACGAAACTTGTTTAACAAATGTACATGGCAATTTTGTTTGATATCTGCATGTATTTTTCTTTTAAGTTTTAATATTTGGCTAAGATTGTGCACAATTTCTTGCATATTAACGATATTTTCTTGCTGGGTTTTTCTTGTAAGGCTATTCATAGCCAAGTTATTTCATGATCTTTCTATTTCTTGTTTATTGATCATAGAAAGAGGGTAGGAGTGGTGCATACCATTTATGTGTAGCTGTAATTTTGTACTCTATTAAATGGTCTTTATTTTTTTTAACATGTGTACTGCAGGTTAGTTTAGAAGAAGAGGATAACTCAAAGGCCTTTCTTATTCTCAATGAAATAATTCTCACATTAAAAGATGTATGTATATCTAGTACATGCCATCCACATCTTGAATTCATTGTCTTATATTTGTATGCCATGTATTGAATCATTGAGGAGATATGTTAACCGTACTGATTTATGTTCGATGGTACTGTTTAGGGAACGGATGAAGCCAGGAAAGAAGCATATGATTTACTCTTAAATATAAGTTCTAGCTTGAGAGACTCATCTTTGGTTGGTTCTATTGAACCGTATCACAAGCTAGTTAGCATGGTAAGTCCATGCATGCTTTTATTTTTAATTTTATTAGGGAATCACTAATTTGAGAAGTTTTGACCTATTTAGTTAGGTTGCTACTAAATATATGCTCGTGGGACATCACTCTAAGTATTGAACTTCCCACAATTATCATGCACTTTTCATGTGTGGATGAATTTATTTTGTTCACGAAAAACATTATATTATATTATATTTTGTAATAATTAGAGTTGCTATATGCATTTTGTGGAATCTTATACACTCAATATACAGATAATGGGATATCTTTGTGGTTCATCTCCCCATATAAAAAGTGGAGCAGTTTCTGCACTGTCTGTATTTGTATACAAGGATACAGATCTTCTTCTCTCCGTTTCTGATCTTGTCCCTTCTCTTTTATCTTTGTTGCAAACCAAAGATGTGGAAATCATAAAAGTGAGTGTTCTACTTTTTCAAGATCATATTTTGGATTCGAGCATTCTCTGTCATTGTTGAGTGTAATCTTACATCTATTACAGGCTGTCTTGGGCTTTGTTAAAGTGCTGGTATCTAGCTTACACGCAAGAGAGCTGCATAATATTCTCTCCGATGTTATTACTGAAATCCTCCCCTGGTCATCTGTTTCGAGACACCATTTTAGATCAAAGGCATGTACAATATCTAATGTTTAGCTCTTAGTCCTAAACATGCTTGTGTGTGCTTAATTAGATGCACCTGCACAACATAAACACAATCATCTGTATACTTGATAGAACCATAGGAATAATGTGTTGTTGGTTTTCTGCAGGTCACAGTTATATTTGAAATATTATTACGGAAATGTGGTTCTGCTGCTGTCAAACTAGTTACCCCAGAGAAATATAAGGGTTTTCTCAAGACAGTACTTGAGGTATTCTTTTTAGTATTGATTAAAAGAATACGATGGTAGATAGTTTGGTCTCAGCCTAGCCATATGTACAGCATTGTATGCAAATCCATGAAAGTCAGCGACATAGGGGCTTAAAAGTTCATATAAAGATTGAGCTTTGAATGATTATGCTTGTTCTTTTAATGTCAGTAAAACATTAAAAATGCTATAAGCCACATTTGTTCTTCAGTACCATAATATAAAGCAAACAAATTTCAGCTCTTGAATGTAGTTAGTCAAAGGTATACCTGCTATCCATTTGGTTCTAATTTCTTCCCATTATTACCTGGGATAGATTAACTCTTGTTAGAGTGACTTATGTATATATTTAAAATTAGAAAAGTTGGTTGGAGAAGTTGTTAAGTTAAGATATGTACAGTCGATAAAATCAAGGAAATTGAATCCCTGCTAAATATGAAAGCTAAAAGCATGATTAATGTTTCCATATTTATGTAAGTTTTATTTTTATTTTTATTTTATTTTTATCATCTGCGACTTGCTTTGTTGCGGTGATTCCATAAGATTTTTAAATACGACCTTGCAATCAGGTTCAGGTAAACTCAGTAGTAACTAAAAGAATAATCATCGTGAAACTGTAATAAATGAATTGTTATTGGTGAGAAATTCTATTTTGTGTTTTTGGATTTTGTATTACTTTCAAGCTCATCTGAAATTTGTAATATTTGTAGTTGGTACTTGGTATACTTTTGACTCATTTTGCAAGTTTGATTAAAGTTTCTATTATGGTGTCTATTATTATTGACTTGCAGAATCGACATGGCAAGTCAAGTGCAGCAGTCACTAATGAAACTGAAAATTTGCCAGAAGATTCATCTTCCAAGAGGTATGTTCTAGTTTGTGAAAAAAAATTGAGTTGAGTTTTGGTTTCTTTGAAGCTGATTTAGATTCCTCTATTCTCTCTCACTTTATAGGCCAAAGTGGAGGAAGCCTGAAAGTTCAGATACCCAAGAGAAAAAATGGATTAACAACAAAAAGAGAAAGTGGGACAAGAAATTTGAGACGGACATGCCTAGGCAAAGGGAACCACTCAAGTCTACTAGTAATGATGGATTAAGATTACCCAAGAGAGTTAGGCATTCTAATAATAAAAATTCAAATGTAGAAAGTTCAGAAGGAAGTAAGAAAGGCCAAAGAAGTTGGAATAGAAGTTTCACTGAAGGTGATGGGAAGAGAAAGGTAAAGCCGACAAGTGCAGAGAAGGATAAATCAGCTTCTCGTGTACCTAAACGACCTTCCAAGTCGCACCAGCCAAAAAGGAAATTCAAAAGAACTTGATAGATGGGCTGAAAACTCAAGCTGGTGAAACACTTCTAAGATGTCATATCTCCCTGACCGTGTGTGTAGGTGTTGATAATGCCATTTTATATCTGTAACTGCATATATATGCGTGGAGATAAGCAAGATTTTTTAATTGTCTTTCCTGCTGAGCAACAATTACGGAGAGGAACGTGGTGCTTTCTTCAGGCTTGATGCTCAAATCTAGTGGCTGAGAAAAAGGAAGGGTAGTTCCTACATGCATAATTTGGCAGGAGAAAGTTAATATCATGGTGGGGAAAGCTATTGTAATGGATGGCTGGCCATGGTTGATTTTGTAAATGCCTATGTTTTGCCATCTTTTGTGCACGGCAGGATTTTCCCCTTGCTTCTGATTCTCAATAGTCAATCGATATTTGCATGTCTTAACAAATGACAGTAAATTTTTGAGTATTTTTATATTTGCAAAATAGTCAATCAAACATAGTGCAAGGGTCTTGGTGTATGCTGTACTCTCCGAATTAATACCACCTTTTAGCTGAATTCTATTCAAAGTACTTGTGTTGAGGTTGCTGTCCAGTATGTTTCCTGTTCTGGCTTTTGATTAGCTTGGTTCTTTCCAGGATGTTTTACTCGGTGTTTGTTTGCACCTTGAAGATTTATCTTTTTAACATTCTTCACGTCAGGCAGATGAAAAAACTTGTAGCTTCTATTTTAATGTGGATCAAAAGTAGTCACACGAGGTTATCAACTCATAAATGCACCAATCCATCCCTCACCTATCATATACTTGGATGTATGTAATAATCCATTTAACAGGCATGTACATTATTTGTAAGCTTAACTTTGCCTTGCAAATATCCCTATACCGTATGATGACCGATCCGTCCGAACACCTGAGAACATAGCCAGATAGGTCGAATACGCGCGTCCGCGGTTGCCTGAACCGATCACCCCGATCCCACTGACCACTCACGGAACGGAACGTGTCGGTTTACTCGGCCCAAACAGGGATTTACACTAGGAGGATTATGAAGAGATTAATTTACGTAATGTGCCGGTTTAGCCCCCTAATTCTCCGGGACCCAGTCCCTAATCACGGCCCAATAAGAAACACTATAAATAGATCCCCTTCGAGGTACGTAACTAACTTTCAACTATCGCATTTATTACGCCGAACACTTACTTGAGCGTTAGAGTGTCTTTGCAGGCACACTCCCCCACACTTCGGACTACCCGGAAAGAAACGAGAAGACCGAGACCTAGGTCTCGACCCGCAACAACAAGGATAATTGAAGTGTATATCCTAACACAGGAACATTTGGCACTCACTATGGGGCCGAAACGACTTTTTCAACCCCTTTGAACTTTACAACTGAGACCAAGACATGGTAGTGACACGCAAAGGACCATCAACATCGACTCAATCGATCCCTAACCCCGAGAACAACCCTGTCATGACCGGACAAGAACAATACCCGTACGGAATGCCTCAAACACCCAGAGCCTGTAATACAAGAGGTTTAGCCAACCACCGACCGAACCCAACCCGATCTTCACGATGACATGCGCGCATTGCGCGAGGAAATGGCTGCTATCCGATGACAGAGACAAGCCGATGCCAAGGAGTTGGCCGAACTACGCCGACAAAACGCGGAGCTCCGAAGTCTTAACCAGACCTTCGTGCCGTCGACTCCCACTCTCCAAGAGGAGTCGGCATACCATGCCCCAACTGATCATATAACCCGAACACCAGTCACCTCTCTGATAGGCAACAAAGCCGACACCAGCGTTGATGGAAGAGCATGGGCTAAAGGCCCAACCACTAGAGCAATGGCCAGGAGGTTACTTGAAGATTTGACTGCTTCAGAGCTTAGTGGGCCCAATGGGCTTGGTGGGCCTAGGGTGCTTCTTACTTGGGCTTTGATTGATTGAACACCATGTTTAATTGTATTTTCTTAGTATAGGAATTTACTTTGTTGTTGGTCTTGTATTTTGACCATAGATTAGGGTTTAGGTGTATTGGGCTTAATTTTGGGCTTCTTGGGCTTTGGGCTTTTGATACCCAATATTGGGCTCATTCTTCTTCTTGTAATTTTTCCTATTCATTGTATTCATTAGACCAATGTATTTCGGTCATTAGATTAGGAATATATGAAGAATACATTAATAGGAGAAGTAGGCTACATTTAAGCATCATTTAGAAGTAATTTGAATTGAATTTGAGTCACATGGATGGCATGGGGTGGATCCGGCCATGTGAGCTTCAAATTCAATCCAAATCACTCTTAAATGACACTTAGATGAGAGTAGCATCCGTGTGATCATGTGAGGTGGCCAAAGTTTGAATTTCAAATTCAAATTTGAAATTCAAACATGGCGCCACTTTGGTTCACTAAAGGTGCCGCCAAGTTACCCTAATTTTCTCCTATAAATGTAACTTTTCTCACCTTGTAATACACTTTTGATTATATGAGAATTTCTGAACAATTACTTCAGCTAATTCCCTCAAGAGTCACCGAAAATTCCAAGAGAGAAAACCTAAGAGAATGCCTTCAAAATCCCTAGGAAAACCTAGTTTTCCTTCCCTTTGAAGTGTGCAATCCTTTGAGTTCATGAGCTTGGATACTTCCTTCTTCCATTTCCGCAGATTGTTCTTCATCCTCACGAGTTCTTTAAGAACCATCATTCAGCAAGAAATCGACCACCCCAGTGTCGAAGCGGAAGTGGTAGCAAGCGTTGATGCCGGTCACTCCGGCCTTAATGACCCTCTCGACTGGCGAGATGAAATCAAGGCATTCATCACCAGTGATGTCATACCCGTCGATCCGACCGAGGCTAAACGGTTGAGAACTCAAGCTAGCAGATATGTCGTCATCGCCGGTCAGTTGTACAAACGTGGCTTCTCTACCCCGCTACTCAAGTGCCTAAACCTCGCCGAGGCCGATTACGTAATGAGAGAAGTACACGAGGGCATTTGCGGAATGCACTCAGGAGCGAGGACGACCGTCTCCAAACTTTTGTGCGTCGGGTACTATTGGCCGACCATGGTCACTGATTGTGGAGCCTTTGTGAAAAAATGCCAACCATGTCAGAAACACGGCAACTTGATTCACCAGCCGGCCGAGCAGCTACACTGCATTCCCCCAGCATGTCGTTCGCTACATGGGAGGCCGACATACTCGGACCTTTCCCGGTTGCCAAGGGGCAATGCAAGTTCCTCATCGTTGCCGTAGACCTTTTCACTAAATGGATTGAAGCTGAGCCCTTGACATGCATTTCGGCTCATCAAGTCCAAAAATTTTTATGGAGGAATATAATCACCCGGTTCGGCATCCCACACACCCTGGTAACCGACAATGGTCTTCATTTTACCGACCGAAAACTCAACGAGTTCCTAGACGGCCTAGGAATACAACACAAGGTCACTTCGGTCGAACACCCTCAAACGAACGGCCAAGCCGAATCTGCCAACAAAGTCATCCTGACAGAGTTGAAGAAACGGCTAGGAGAAGCAAAAGGAGCATGGGCCGAGCAGTTACCCGAGGTGCTTTGGGCCTACCGATGCACTCCCCAGTCAACCACACAAAAGACCCCCTTCCGATTAATCTACGGGTCCGACGCGATGATTCTAGTGGAAATCGGGGAACCTTCATTCCGTCGAACCCATTTTGACGAATCAAATAATGAAACCGAGCTCCGAGTAAACCTGGACGTCGTAGAAAACATCCGAGACCGAGCACAAGTCGTGGTCGAGGCCACCAGGCAACGCTACAAGAGAAGATTCGACAGTAAGGTGAAGCCTAGGGAATTCCGAGAAGGTGATCTTGTTTGGAGAGAGAGCCACAGGCGAGGCGAGAAAAGATCCGAGGCAAGGAAAACTTGCCCCAAATTGGGACAGACCCTTCCGAGTACGACACAGCCTAAACAACGGGGCATACAAGCTGGAGTACCTATCACGAGAACCAATTCCGAGAACTTGGAACTCCTCACATTTAAAAGTGTATTACAGCTGATGTATTAGTGCACTCTTTTCCTTGATCGACTCTTTTTTCCTAAGGAGGGTTTTGGGTCGGCAAGGTTTTTAACGAGGCACTTCATTAATAAAAACTTCAAATTTTATCATACCGTTCTCTATTTTATTGTATGCCTAGGTCGCGCTCATGTAGGCCCACTCGCATAATACGCCAATGCTGAGCAATCCTCGGCCGACCACTCAAAGGTGCACTCGCGCCCAACAGGTTTCCCTCCCGAGTACTCTCCTCGGCTAAGGATGTACCTAGGCCGAGTACTACGCACGAACGCCACGCCGCCGAGCAACACTTGGCCGACCATTCAAAGTAGACTCTCGCGCAACAGGTTTCCCTCTCGAGTACCCTCCTCGACTAAGGATGCACCTAGGCCGAGTACTACGTACGAACGCGACGTCACCGAGCAATCCTCGACCGATCGCTCAAAGTGCACTCGCGACACAGACCTCCTCCCGAGTACCCTCCTCGGCTAAGGATGCACCTAGGCCAAGTACTACGCACGAACGTGACGTCACTGAGAAATCCTTGACCGATTGCTCAAAGTGCACTTGCGACACAGGCCTCTTCCCGAGTACCCTCCTCGGCTGAGCACTGCACTGTAAAACGTCACCGAGCAATCGTCGGCCGACCATTCAAACGTGCACGCACCCACCCTATTCAAATCGTATGGTCCAAGTTCGAGGCCGATCATCCTTGTGCGATCCAACGTGCCTTGAATATCAAACCATGACTCGACTCCGAGGCCTAATGCGCTTAGGTCGAACACGCTCAGGCCAAATACTCGCGCTCCAACACCGCGTATCAAACCGCGACATACCCTGAGATCAAACATGCTCAGGCCGAACACTCTCGCACGCTCTGCACTTCATGTATCTAATAGCAAAAATTTAAACCGAGCACTCTCGTAATCACACACCACGATTAAAATCTAATTTGCCCCGTCGGCCAAGCATGTAAGTCGGTGTATTTTTACATAAACGGCAAAAATGAAAGCAAAAGTAAAATTCCATTAAAGTATTGCCAATCAATACGGCTACTTACACAAAAAATCCTAATTGTTCACCGGCACCAAGGCCCAAATTACAAAAGGCGCTGACGGCCCGGTTACAAAAGAAGCAAAAAAATCCTAACCTAACTACCGAGGCCGATCCCTATACGGCTTCCGAGCTTGCTGGATTCCCATCGCCGACCACGTCAATAACCGGATCCTCCTCTTCGGTCGACTGCACGGGAGGTTGGGTGAAAATGCCTTGACGAGGGGCCTCGGCATCGGGCTGGGCCCCTTGAGGGAACTCAGCATAACTTATAAACTTACCACCTAAGAAGTCCCGGCTAACATCAAACTGAAAATCAGCCGGGACCTCACAGAAGTGGTAAGCTTGTCGGATTGCGTGCTGGAAGC